GGCTCGGGTTTGCGCCGGACGCGCTCATCGGCGCTCGTCGGCACTCGCCACCTTCTCAGACGCGAGGCAGATGACGCGAGAAACGACTCCTGAAACCGCGAACGAAATTCGAACGTGAGCTAGGCTCGTCCCCTTTTGCGAAAATCGGAAACGATTCGATAGATCTGGAGCGACAGATATTTTTCGGACAGCTCGGTCGTTTGTTCCTCGCAATAATCGTAAAGCTTGCGTTTTCCGCGGGGAAAAGGATGCCTCATGCGGCTCGTCTTCCGAAAATCGCGTACAACGGTTTTTGGATGCTGCCATTCTTGGTCGCATTGTTTTCGTATCATGTGTTCGAGCCTTGCCCCTTCAAAATCTTTAAAATAGATCACTTGTCCTTCAAAAGCGGCAGTGGATGGAAGGTATGGTGGCGTGCACCACTGGCCTCAAAACTGCGAGAAGGACCGACGCAAATATTACAAATCCTATACAAGTCATCGACGTGTTTGGCGGCCGACAACGAAGCGAAAAACTTGTTCGAAGACGCAATAGTGTAAAGATGTCAGAGTGTGCTTGTTTATTTTGGCCGAACTTCGGAGACACGTATGCCCACAACATGGCTGCTACAGTGCCACACCGTAGCAGCCATGTTCGTGCAGGCATCTATCTGCTCGACGGCAACTGTGTTTAGCCTGTCAGGTAGACAGACGGAGGGATCAGGCGACGAGGAATCGAGCCGAAAGCACAGACGAGTCCCCGACCCTAACGGTAACGGCACGTCTTTTGCACCTCGCGACTTTCTGCGAACGGGGACACTAAGATTTTTGTTTTTTCCTGTTTCGCTTTTTTTGTTTCCCCGGCTTCTAGCAGTGACCACGTGCCCTCGTGGCTCACGACTAGCTTTTCGCCTGAATAATATGTATGTAGGCTAAAAGGTTCGTCTATATTCTAACGCCACATCGACGCTCATCGAACGCGTATCGACTTTCTCGTGCGTTCGTCGACATTACGGTCTACGAACTATAGTCCTCAAAATTCGGAAGGACTAATTAGCATCTGGAGTGGTAATTCCGGAAGGACGTGTTCGGTGATGTCCATGAACATTAAAGACTTGTGTTATTCCCTCGAGAAGAGAAGGTTGATGAACGCGGTGAGGGTGGTTCTGAGGTTGAATTTATTGTAAGTTTCAATCTGAATCGGGCATGTCGCTGGACTATTTTCTAACGTTGTTGGATCTGCATTTCCAATCGATGGTTCTAGAATTGGAAAGTCCAAAATATCTGAAGAAATAAGGAGTGTGCAGGCTCTTCGGTCGCACCAATATTAGCTGAGATTTATCTTAACATTTTAGGCAAATTTCTATGACAAGATGGATGCAGTGGCACCACATTGTGGGGTTTTTCAGAAGATACGTTGATGGTACCATTGTACTATCCACGTGTGAAGATGGTTTTTCAGACTCCCTAGAAAAGTTAATATGATCGGCGTCCCCGAAATTACAGTTCACTGTCGAAAAACTAGAGGAAGGAATGCTACAGTTTGTAGATATGCGCATACAAGTTAGAGATGGCTTTTGATAAAAATACGGTAAATTAGCGAGGAAACAAAAACACTTATTTTAAAACAGTTGTTACACTAACATCGTCGAACACAGAGTAATCCAGTCAAACAATTATTTAAAGACGTCGTGGACCTATTACATGAATGGGGCGTTACAGAGGCAATGAAAGAGACTGGAAGATGCGGGCTATCAAGAAGCATTCATAAAACGGCAAATGTCCATACAGTTCAGGAAAGTGAAGAGATCGGGACTATGCTCCAAGTAAACGGAGAGCTGTTATACTCTATACCCTTCATGACATCTCGCAGATCTTGAAGGCATGCGCCAAAAGGTGCGGTGCCGACACCTCTTCAAAACTGCCACAACAAAGTAAAAAGATAAATAAAAAAAAAAAGCAGCTCAGTGAAAAGTCAGTATTTTGGAATAGTAGGGTGGTATACGAAATACCGATGGCTTGTGGGTTTCAATGTGTCGGCCAGACGTCAATATTTTAATGATACACTAATCAAACACACGCAGCGTAAAGTATAAAATATTTAAAGAATTCGGAATTAGCTAACGTATTAAGGGATGTAACAGTTGTACGGCTGATTGGTCAGGAACAGAAGTGGTCTGCCGAGAGGCGTATCCCATGAAACGCTAGGCAAAGGAACGGTGTGGATAAATATTTCAGGCAAATGTATCAGTCAAGCTTCAGTGCAACTCCGAAGCCGGTTTAAAATGTTTATAAATTATTATTATTATTATTTCTTTCTGAAGAGCTTTGTTCCTTACTGAAGGGTTGATGTCTTAGTTCTGGGCGTTTCTTTGGTGTTCGCAACGTCCGTGTGCAGATGAGTCGGTGAATTCTAGATAGACCTTTCGGTGTATGTGCCGTTTTTTTTTACTTGCAGTCTCGGTGTTGATGTCATGTTCATCCCGTATTATTATTATTATTATTGTTGTTGTTGTTGTTGTTGAAGTGTTCTGGTTCGGGTTCCTCCAAGTGTTTCTGTTATTGTTCTGTAGCTTAGTAGCTTTCGGAACTAAAGGGCATCGGAATTGGGCCAGCTGTAAAGCTAAGATTGTTTTTTATGTCTTTTTCTTTTTTGGCGTGGGGAGGTGAGAGTGTTCGGAAATGGCAATAAAAGGGCTTTGAATAAAATACATTTTGTAGCTGATTTGATGCGCTTTCTGTCCACTTTTATTCCTTCTACTTTGTCTTCAAGTTTCCTTCTCATTCTCAGGGTAAACATCATGACTAATTATGCACCGCCCACACATCTTTTTTTCTTCTTTTTTTTTTTTTTTTTCAAAGTTGTTTAAAATGTTATCTTTTTCTTCCGCTCTTTTTCTACATTTACCCACACAGTTTGCCGGTATGGTCCAGTCCATCCTTGCGGTATTGTCTTCCGTGAGGCTCTGCTTGCGGGCCAACCTTGTATCACAACGGTCTCGGCATTTTCGGCTCCAAAAGTATTGCGGGAGGCGCGACGGGCTCGACATGAGACGGCGCGCGCATGCGCCGTCGTGCGTCACCCGGGTACCTCGGAAACGCGGGCGCTGCGGCACCTGTTGTCGCGATAGTCTGGATGTCCACGGCCGTTTTGAAGCAGCGCTTGCGTTAGAAAAAGAACGCAGTTACACGTGTCTGAAGTGCAGTGATGGAAGTGCTGCGCCAATTGCGCCAAATTGCGCCAAGGACGCGATCCTGCTACATGTAGCGCCGAATTGTCATTTTACCGAAGAATTGCGCCATGCCTGCGTCGAGATGAGATGTAGCAATAAAAAAATAAAAATTGAAGTCTTATCAGAGCGCGTGGCGTTACCGCGGTATTTTCCGCGCCGCAACTTTTACGCAAATCGAAACTGCGAGGGCGCATTATCGTCATCATCGTTTTGAAAGGAACAGCGTTAGCAACATCTGAGACCAAAGCCGCAGAGGCTAAGCGAAGAACCATCCCACTGAGCAGCCTACTTAAAAAAAAAAAAAGGCTGAGCTCGTGGATGTTTTCAATGTTGGCTCGCCCTGTTCCCGTGCGCTAGCTACCAGCGAAGTCAAAGCTAGCGCAAGCCCAATGCTCTGTGCATTCCTGACTCGCGCGTGGGCTCGTGCAGTGTGGGCACCGTTACGGGCTCTTTGCGCGCGCTTGTAGCTTCGGCTGCGCTCGCACCAAAGCTGAAGCGAAGTATAGTTGAGTTGCACCAAACTCTGAATGTAGTGCTGGTAAAGCCTCACCGTCCTTTTCGGAACACAAAGCACTGCGCGACTCGCGCGACTGCGGTGTCTGCTCCGCGGGTGTCGGTTCTCTGCAGCGCGTCGGTGCATGCCAAGAAGCGCACTCAACGGGTTAACTCGCCGTGATCCGATCGTGACTTCGCCAGCACGTCGAAAATGAATCGGAATTTTTGAAGCGAATATCAGATACTGCAATATTTGAAGCTGCTGCCCGAAAGAGAACTCTAATCTGAACTAAAGCATTCCACAACAGTGAGGGTCGTTAGATGCTGCTGCAGATACTTTAAAAAAAAGTGCAGGCTGATAAAACTAAATATCCTGTACCATCAGAACTCAGTGCGACATATTTAATTGTATTTTTTTTATCTGACGAGCAGATAAACTTTATTTAAAAAAAAAAAAAATTTGTGTTTACTTTGTTGAATTTTCTATATCCTGTCTTAAAAAGGCGACAGGCGCTGTGTTCAAATAATAGAGATGGGCTTTATATAGCAATGCGGCATTATTTCATTTTCAAGTGATATGCCAACATATGCCGGACCCTGCTGCAGAAGGGTCACTACCTGCTCCAAAACAACATTTTGCTTGCTACAAGGCCTGCTCCAAAAAGGTCAAATGGCACTTCCATCACTGGAAGTGGCACACACGATTTCTGAAGGCTCAGACTTCACTGCAGGATAGTTATCTTTCGCGATCACAGTGCCAAAGTGTGTCCCGTCCCAAACCTGGCGCTCGGCACGGCCGCTTCCCGGCAAGCGCCTGGGTCGAACTTTGCCGCGCGTGAGCCTTTCTCCGCCAGTGAGGAGTTAACGGCGAATGGAAAAGGGAGGCGATACTCCGACTCCGGAGTGACTCTGGCCTAGCCGTTCCAAGTTGGAATATTGCTCGGATCAGGGTTTCGATGTTCGCGGTATAAATACATCGCGTAGCGAAGGCACTAAATAGTGAATACCGGTTGTCGTGTGCTCGGCGGTTCGTATTCTAGTTGGTGTTTTTTTGTCGCGCAGCTGGCATCTCTTGTTGCTTCGGGGAGCGTTCATTGTGCCACTTTCCTAGATACAAGCTTCCTGTGCAGCTGCGTCCCGTGTTGCTTCCCTTCCGTGTCGTAAACGTTCATCTCGAATATTCGGAATACCCGCTGGGTAGTGGACAGAGCGCGCCACCGTCGATTGACCGCCAGCGCCAGTGTGGCAGGTTGGGAAAACACTGAGACGGCTCCAATCGACGACGCAGCACGCGACGCACCAGGCTATGATACCCAAGTACGCGTCCGAAAATGCCGCCCCTGGTCTTGTTTTGCGGGTTCAGAGATATTGAGGATGTCGGCTCGTTTTTTCGTGACCAGGCGCTTGAGAAGGGACACAGACTTTTTGAGAATAATCACGTCTACGCTGTGCGAGAAGAGGACGGCGTAGACATTACGGCCAAGTGTCACTCCCAACAGGGGAAGCACGTGTACGACGTCACAATCCGGGTGAGTGCGAGCTGTTATAAAAATATACTTCACTGAGAATCGTATAGACAAAAGCCTAATAATTATTGTTTTACTTGCGCAGTTAAACCCACAGTCCCGGAAGATCATCACCGGGTCGTGCACCTGCCGGTACGGCGTCCTCGGTGAGTGCAAACACAGCGCCGCTGTTGTGCACTACGTCAACAAACACGAAGTTGCCGCGTGTACCAGCTTGCCTCAGGCGTGGGGGAAGCCCTCGAAAAAGCCGAAATTGGATGACAAGGCGTCGATAGCCGATCTCTTTGGAGGTAGGACTACCACCACAAGTTGCAGCGTTAACGTGGCGTCAACGCCCGCGCGTGACAAAAGCGTCGAGCCGTACAAGTTATCGCGCAAGTCGACGCCCCACTCTTGATTTTCGCTACACCAATTCTTCGCAAATCCAGCATTTTGGACCGCGCGCATTACTCAATTCGTGCAAATTATGGGCTTGCAAACGTTAGTGGCCTTAGAAAATAATTGAGGGAGACTAGCACGAACTATCTTTCAAAAGTTGATTGACATTGTGCTGAAGTGGACTGAATTTCTTTTTTTTTGATGAGTTAGAGCACTGGTCTGCATGAAATCCTAGGTGCTGTGATCTTTATTTGTATTATCAGCAAGCTCATATTTACGAGTGAATGATGTGCAATGTTACTTTCTTAGGAAACCGCAGCAACACCGTGAGGAAGCAACAACCACGAGAGATGCCTCCCAGCTACATCCTTCGCCACTTTCCAGACATCGAAACTCCATTCACCGACATTTTGCGAATGATGGACAAAAACCAGGTGGAATTGGAGTGCTCTCAGACCATGGATGACATTCTAGACCTTGTGGTGGACAATGTGCAGCGGTCCGAGGTGGAAGAACTTCTACAGAACGTTCCGCTTGAGCCTTCGTGTGGACAGGAGCTGGGGGACTGCTTACACCAACTCACAGATGCTGAGAGAAGCTTCTTTCAAAGAAGAGTTGCATGTTCCGACATTCTGAGTCTCTGCATGGCGACGCTGGCACAATCCAAGTGTGCACGGTGAGATCTCTTCCTCTTTGGGTCACCAGTTGAGGAAGTAGCTACCCATGTTGTAAACACACCTGTTTGGAGTACTTTCCAGAGGTATGACTTGTTGCAAGGGCCAAAACTTGAACCATGCTTTTAAAGTGAGGTCTGTTCTTTCATGTCGTCTCCCACAAAAGTAGGCACTGATAATTCAATGCCGAAACTTTAAAGAATCCGTCTTCAGACAGACGTGAGACCGTTGAATAACGACACACTTTATGCTTGCTTTGAAAGTGTATTTTTATTGCACAATATCATCCTGGGTCACTACCATGGGCACGGCACTGAAGATCAGGCACTATTAACACTTTGTTTCACAAGAGCTGCAAACTGTCTCTCCGATTAACACTGATGCTCCTGCACCAACAGGTGGTACCAAGAACGCAAAATGCGGATTTCAAGTTCAAAGGCGCATACTATCCTCCGAACCAAAAAGACCCCACAGGAGCTCGTCTCAAGCCTGATGAACGAGGAAAGCTTTACAAGCGAAGCAACATCCTATGGTAGCCTTATTTATTGTGTTGTTAGTGTTCCGAAAGCTAACACCAACTTTTTTGCACAGGCTTGCGGACTGAGCCGAAGGCACGGCGATTGTTTGAAGGAAAGGTTCGGGGCCATGTCACTGAGGTATGTCATGCAGATGCCCCAAGGAAATATTCCATCATGTTTATCTCATCTACGCTTGAGAAGTGATAGTGTATCATTCACAATTCGACGTCTTCTACTTGCAGATTTTAAAAGTTTTTGCTGTGGCCTTTCATCTGCACATTTAAACTGCATGAATTTGAAGATATTGGTTATTTTGAAAGGTGTTGTGATAAACAGGTTTAACCATGTCATAAAATGATTGGCATGCAAGCAAATGAATTTGCAAAAAGATGAATCCTTCAGCTCAGTATTTCACTTTTCTCATTTTAGGTGGGCCTGCTTGTCCATAATGGTAAGCCCTGGCTCTGCGGGAGTGCTGACGGGCTCTTCGGACTGACCACTGGCACCGTGCTTTTGGAGATCAAGTGTCCTAGCAGCATAAGGAACAGCCTTATCGTTGATATCACCCGGAAGGTGACATTTGTCAGCTACTTAGTATATGTCGACGGCAAGCTATGTCTGAAACAATCACACCGTTACTACACGCAGGTGCAGGTGTTGATGTATATTCTGCATTTGGAGGAATGTTTCTTTTTTGTATACACCAGTGTCGATAATGTCACCCTGCTCGTCACCAGAAATGACGACTTCCTGGACACCGCCATCCCAACTCTGCAAGACTTTTATTTCGATTGGTATTTGCCAGCCCTTGCACGCAAGTACCAGTCCTAAATAGACCATTTTCAGAAATTTCCAAATAAGACACTGCATGTACTGCATTCAACATGTACTGCATTCAAGGAACCAGTGAAATAAAAAGTTGTACCCCTGCTTCAATTTGCTCGAGTTCCAACTTCTAAGGCGTTGAAAAATGCAACTTTGCTATGAAATATCTTCGCAACTTGTACAACAAGACATGACATGCCACACAGGGAGGCCTCGTAAGAGCAGTGTATGGCCGAAGTTATCTACTAAAAAGTACTTACACAGGCACTGAGGAAGAGCTGGCTTCAAAAATGCAATGGGGGCAGGTGTACCATCTCGGACAAAATGAGCTACACCACCATTGGACCTTTATGCTACTCCTGCGATCTCCACAGGATGAATTCTCATGACTGAAAATGCAAACATTCTTCATAATCCAACCGTTCTCTGGATGAGTGTTTTTCCGCTCTTCTGCGACGTGTTGCTTGCCGCAGAATCTAGCATGAGGTGCTGCGACTAAAGAGAGTGCTTCTACTTTCACGGCGCGTATCGATTGGTATCGCCTGAGCAGCCTTTCAAACAAAATTAGCTTACTGTTCAAGTTGCCTTGCCGTGACTATCGCAATATGAAAAGAGCAAGAACTCACCGCATTCAAAAATCGGACTCACTACTGGCCAGCGATATGAGCCACAAAGCCACAAGCACTAACTCTGGCCGTTGCGTCGCAGCAGAAGTTCGTCACCAATGGCACCTCACGCCACAGCTGATAAACTGCTAAACAAGGCGGCACCTCGTGTCAGATTCAGTGGCAAGCACAGCACCGCAGAAGAGCGAATGAAAACACACCCCTGCAAGTACATTAGAACGACCAAGCGCTCGGAGTGCGAAACAACTAATGCAAACAAGTTAACAGTTTTTTCTTCCTCTCTTGGTATTGAATGGCTATCAGGCAAAACTAGTGTGGTGGAAACAACACAGAGACTTGCCCTTTAAAGGGATTCTTCAACCAAATTTGAAATATACCAGTCGTGGTCAAAACTAGGTTGAATATGATCCACAATATCCGTGAATGACAATCGCACGTTTCTATTTTGAGCCTGGCCCACTCTGGCAAGCACTTGGAGACATAGACAGGACGACTGCATCAGATCCCCAGCGGAAACAGCCAGCGCAGAGCATGTGACATAGGTCGTCTTGGGACGAGCAAAGCTACGGCGAGGCTGACATCGAGAGGAATGCCTAGTCATTCCAGCCACCCAAGCAGCTGCTTTTGTACGAATTTTGAGTGACGGGTTAATCTTCTATAATCTTGAAGGGGGACAATAGCGACTTTTGGGACACACAAATGGAATTCTCGGGAAGAGGGGAGTTCCTCCTTCAGCTCTTCTCTTGTCGTGGCCGACGACGAGACAGTCCGGAGGCGAGACAGTAACCGTCACTAGCTGTCAAGGTTCCTAGATGGGCATTACGAATGAGGCTTTAGCGACATCCACCAGGTGCTCTTTACTAATCGTTTAATTTCTTTTTAAAATTCCTTTTCGTGACTTTTTTAAGAAGATATTGGTGTGTTCGATGTGATACTGCTCCTTCCAACGCATATAGACCAAAAAATGAGCGCAAAATTTCGTTGTAGTATCCCTTTAAGCAGTCAAGTTTGTCACCCATCAATACCCTAGCTGAGCAAAGTGCTTGAGTCGTGCTTATGCTGCTTGTATCATACAGTCTACTTTACATTTCATATTGTGGCCACTCCATGCCAAGTGTTTCAAACTTTCCAGTCCCAGAGAACTTGAATATTTCCTAAGTGATAATTGAGGCAAACCAACCTGGAAGACCTGGAATTGTCAGAAATTCGCACTGTCTGGAAATATCAATGAATTATTAGAGAAATTGTCAAAACATTGGCTAAATCAGGGAAAATGGCCAGTGAAAGGGTATGGCAGTGTGGACTGAAACGAGACAATCACGTATCTGCATGGCAGGGCTGAATAATATTGCCCTAAAAGTTGTCCTTGACCGAAGGAGTCAAGGAATTTGATCAAGATAGTCAGGAAAACCCCCGGAAAAGTCAGGGAATTTGAAAGAACCAACTTGGTAGATAGCCTGATTGTGCCCATGAAACAATACTATACACACACTACATAACCAATGTTTGGTGCATACTTATAGCCGCCTCGGTGGCTCCAAGGTGAGAGCGCCTGCCTACGGATACCCATGCAGCGGGTTCGAATCCTGGCCGAGGTGCCCGCAATCTGACAGAGGCTTATTGCGGAGAAGGCGCCGTGTAACCGAGCTTTCGGTTGCACGTCAAAAAATCCCCAGGTGGTCCAAATTAATCCTCAGTCCTCCGCTTGGGCGTGCCAGATGCCCGTCGTTGGTTTGGCATGCAAAACTCCCAAATTTTGGTGCACAGTTATGCATCAATGGATGGCTTGGTTCTGGTGAAATAGTACTTGCAGTGTGAAAAATAATTTACTCGGTGGGAGGGACGATTGTGGAAGTTGGGGAGGGCAGGGAACCTCCGAGGGTGCACCGAAAAATCCAAAGGTCCCTAGGAATGCAGTTTGAAAACCTAAGCTCAATGGAATGGCCTACATGCGAAGTTTAGTCATATGGCTTGATGATTGCAGGCTGCAAGTTTGCAAGCACAGAACACATATGGAACACATCATCCATCAATGGGATTAGAGTTATGGGCACTGTCATTTTGAGGATGTTATAAACCTTGATCCTTTGGATCATTCGCTCCACATGAATGCGTACCTGCGCAATGTTGTATGTATCCTGCACTTCCTGTTCACTAAACTGCCCATTCCCAGAAAGGAAAGGGGGCATCACCAGTACAGCATCGGTGTCCTTCAGACCTGCCTTGATGCCTGGGAACCCTTTGTCTGCTAAAATAACATCCCCAGGCTGTACCACACCCAGGAAGCCGGAATCCACTGTTACGTGGGTGTCCGAACAGCGGCCTCCGTAGGCCTTTGAACAAAAACAAATCACCCCGTTGGGTGTAATCGCCACCAAAAACTTCAGCGTGTACCCACTCTTATAGCTTGAGTAGAGCACACGCTGCTGACCTACGCTACTTGGTTCCTCTGTCCTGACTTCAGTGCAGTCGATTATCATCCTGCACTCCGGATAGTTTGCCTTGAAGCAATCCGGCAAGGTTGCTCTTATAATACTCGACGGAGGCCGAAAAATCCAGTTGCGCGTCGCAGCAGTCAAGGTTGTCAACACTGCCCGAAAGTGGCGTGATGCAGTCGTCCTGTCTATGTCAAACAAGACGCCAAGTGCGGTGTACCTCAGTCCCAGTTTCAGTTTTACCAGAAACAACAGCAACCTGTTCGGAAGAGAGACATCGCAGCTGCGCTCAGGAAGAAGGGGCAGCATGCTCAAAAGTAGGGAAAACACTTGCATGCTCACATTACAAATGTCCCGCAAAGCATCCTCGGAATGCTGGATACTCTCATACCCTCCAAAAAAGCTTGTCCTCTCGTTGGGACCTGAGGGCCTTGAAGATACTTGTGGCTTATGCTGCACCTCAGCGTCGTAGACCTCACGATGTGTGATCTGTGTACAGCCCTCCCCGCCTTGTAGGGAGCATGTGTACACTGAGAAGCTCTTACAGTAAGCTCCAAAGCTGTCCGTCTGGGTCTCCTGTAAAAGCAGTAGTGGTAGGACTTAGTCAGGCTGTCAATGAAAGCTATAGTGCTCAGCAAACAGCCCAAAACTAACATGCTTTTTTAAAATTCTTATAATTTGCAAGTTGGCTCATAATTAGGGTTCTTTGTTTTCTGTGTTTCTTTTTAGTGTCGGCCAGAAATAGGGGTTTATCGGGGTTTATGTTGTAAGATTGAAGGCATATCTACAGTGTTTCTCGAAAACAGAACTCTATACCCGCAATTTATTGGTAAATTGCACTTGTAGAAACAATTTCCAAAGAAAGAAGCCACCTCTCGGACAGTTCAGTGCAGTCAGTTTTTGCGGTCTACGCAGATAAAGCTGCTGATGAAGGTTCCTGTAAAACTAGGGTTTTACTTATTCAAGCAGAGGCTTCAGTTCAGTGTTTTTCGGTTTTCACCGATTTCTAGAAAGACTCTTTGGGGGGCTATGTTTCGGTTTTTATCGGTATATACCGAAAACACGGAACCTTACTCATAACTGGGGTGTGTATTTTCCGGTTTTAACCGAAAAACACCGATAAACATCCGTTGGTTAAAACCGAAAAAACCGGTCGTGGCATAATTCCGACCTAGCGAAACCGTTTCCCCGTAGAGGTTCGTCAAACGTGTTATCTCGTGGATCCTGCATCCTTCCAGTGTTTATACATGGCTTGCACATGGCGTCAGTCCGCCCTTCTTTCTGGGGTCAAAAGCGCTCTAGTAAACGCAGTGGAAGCTAAGCTCTCACACGCCTTTCCTCTATTGTGTCTCCCATGGCCCCCTTTTGGGGAAAAATTATTGCAGTGGAGGGTAGGCTCTCACGTGCCCTTTCCCCATTGTGTCTGGCCAAGTGATGTCGGTGCAAGCCATGTATTGAGAGATTGCTGTGGTTCCTGGAAGACATTGCCAACATCCGTGTCGTACAGGAGCGTGCGTTTTCACAATTGCGGGTTGTGAACCGCAAGAAACGTGCTGCCATGAAGGATGCAAGCCTCTTGAAGTATGCTTGCATCTACTATAACAACCAAGTGTGAGAAATAGATGCTTCCTAGAGAAGAAGTGCATGAAATATGTGAGTAAAATTGGAACTCTCTGCCTGTGATCAATCACATTTTTCCACCGATAATCACTGATTTTAGCCTCGTCGTGAGACGTTCCACCGAAATACAACGGTGTTTTGAAAATAAATAAACACCGAAAAACATCCGCTCATTTTTCTCACAAATAAACACCGGAAAGTACACACCCTACTCATAACTTACCACTGAACACTTCTCATGAAGTTCAACAGCTTGACAGGGGGGCAGTAGTCCATGTTCCGGGCTTTCGCTGCAATCCAAATTGTGCTCATCAGGTACTGGGCTTGTGGTACCTGACTGTTGTGGTCCCAGAGATGGTGGACATGAAGTAGCTGCACCAGCTGCTCTCTCCCTCCACCTGGAAATATGTCACAACCAAAATCTACATTCCTGCTAATTTCACTCAAGGGAGAAGCATACTTTTGTGACGCTTTAGGCAAAAGCAGCCACTTGCGGTACTATTGGATGGCACTCTACACAAACTCATTGTCCAAATAGAAATAAGTTGAGTAAATATTTACCTGCCAAACCTCCTGACTTGCGCATCGGGATCCGAATTCCGCTTCTTGTACACAAGTGGAAATTGCGTTGGGATATAACCGGGGTGGCTCTCGATGTTGCTTGGCTCGTTGTTCACGAAATGGTCCGAGCATATTCTGGAGTTCTTGCTGGGCATCCAGTCCGAGCCATCATCACTGAAGCGTACGAGTAAAAAATTAGGATCAAACCCGACTTGCATGTAGAATGCAGCAAGACATGTAAGCTACCAGTTTTACTAGTGCTTCATGCCTATCTTTATTTAATATGGTTTAGGGTGCTTTACCCCTCAGTGAAATCATAGCCGCGGTAAATCAGGACCTACCAAGCAGGGTCAGTCCCCAAGGCCACATTACTGTTTAAAAGCACTTAGTCATACTATGAGCAGCGATTTAAATCACCTCGCTGATAGCTGCTCAAACGACATTTCACAGACACATGCCCAAAGCAGCTCACCAACATTAGACAGTATGCAGTTATGAATTAAATTCACATTACTACTAGAATTAAAACGGTAGCCGGTTCGGGAATCGGAAAGCGCGGCCTCGCGAAGGAGCTTTCTCAGCGCACTGGTACCGGCAAAACTTTTTACGAGCCGCTGCTTAAGCGAGTACTGTCTGAAATATTAGCGCAGCCCTTAAAACATCGTTCAAATAAAAAGTGTCCGCGGAGCAACTTGAAGTACGCAGCCGGTAAACGACACAGCTAACAATTACGCGCACGTCAACCTGGCTCCGCTGAAAGGGGTGTCCAAACAGGACACTACAAAACGCACGACTCCGACAAATCGTGAAAATTGAAGCGGGCTTGAAGCGGGCGCGTCCGCTTCAATTTTCACGATTTGTCGGAGTCGTGCGTTTTGTAGTGTCCTGTTTGGACACACACGGAGTCGTCGCATCGAACGATCGAGCCTAGGGCAGCGCTTCAAGCGCACCAATCGCCAACATTAAACCAGATACACCTCAAATGACGATATGTAACTGGAACACTTACTTGACGCGTCTTACGGCATTTATCCATCTGCCACGGCGTTCTTTTTCCCACGGCCTCGATGGGAACCTGTGGAGCTTCACGCCCGC